TGCGCCGTTCTGAAAATGTTTTAATACAGGCGTGTACAAGTTCTCCGAGATCGTGACGCAGATCGCTTGACTACCCGGGTAAAATAAGACCGTTGCTGTTGACCAAACGTGAACCGTGGAAATAGCCTATACGTGAATTTAACTCTCGGAGAGGTTAAAGGTCGTGGTACCTGTGGGTAACGGAAGGAGGCGTCCAGAGACTCCACCACGAAGTTCTCCGGTCCTTTGTTGGAGAAACCGAGCAGGAACTTCACGATTTCGTTGGCAGGGAAGTCTGAAGGAGAAGAGGAGGAGGAGGAGGAGATGAAGAGTTCATTCAGACTTTACTACCAAAGGACGGAATGTAAAATAAAATAAAGCTTCATTTGATCACTTGTTTCCTTTGCTTAAGGAGATAAGGAAGCATGGAGGGACCTTACCGTCTCCTTTGACGAAGAGGATGGTGGTGTCTGCGTTGGGGGACGCCTTCACCTCTCCGACCGACGCCTCCTCCTCTTCCTCTTTTTCTTCCGTCTGTAAACAAACAAGTTTGTTTCAGCAGCAGCTTCGTCTTCATCATCAACATCTTCATCATCATCCTCATCAACGTGCTTCAAGTGAAACGTCATCAGCTTCACAAATGTAACGAGCTGCCAGGAACAAGAAGAAGGAAAGAAGCTGAGGAGTGAGAATGACTCTCAGCGCCAGAGGAGTGAGATATCTAATCCGTCACCAGCTCCACGTTCTCATCGTCCTCCACTTCCGCCTCGTCGTCCTCGTCTTCGTCCGCGGCCTCCGTCTCCTCGTCCTCCATCAGGTCCTGGGCGCTCGCCCCCGTCCCTGAAGGAGCGACGCTGCATTAAAGGAACCTCCGTAGAGACGCATCACGCAGGAGGGGGTTTGAATCTCTGGAGTGGGGATGGGGAGATTCACCGGTTCGCATCGATGCGTCGGCGTAAAAGCTCACGATGCGTCGGCCCGGATCAACAAAGTGTGCACCGGATACCTTGTGGGATGAATCGCGGTGCATCGTTTCTAACATTTTTGCATCGGTATAATCCGATGTATTTATACAGAATCGTGTGGAGGCGAACACCATTTAATATTTAGAAATGCGTCCAATGATTTGTGACCAATCGTTTCATACTTGGATAGACGCCTCCTCTCTGTTTCTAAGCGCGCTCGTCTCCTCTGCTGTCAGTGGGCGATTCTCGTGAAGTCTGGAGTTGGAGGAGAGCGCGTGGGAGAGCGTTACCATGGCGGATGGAGAGGTAGACGTCCCGAAAACTTGCAATGAATCCAAGGTTTGGCAACACTTTGGATTTCCATAGAAAGACGGGAAAGTGGATAAAATAAAATACGTCGCGCTGCCATAAAGTACAGCTGATTTAGGGACGCACCTGAAGAGGCGACGCGCTGAGACGTCTGCCTCCTCCTCAGATTCAGGTGTGGCTACAGTGGCGAGCTCTACCAGTACACCTGCCGAGCACACTGAGAAACGTATCGCCACTTTCTTTCATGCCGCTGGCTACCGACTCAGCTCGATCACAGGCAATAAGCGCAGCCGTTGCCTTATTTATCTGTAAAGATATACAGCCTCACAGTGCTGGTGAAAACGAGGGCTTCCAATACCTCCTCAACATACTGGAGCCGAGGTTCCACATTCCAGGTAGAAACAAATCCCTCGTCTGTACGAGAAAGTAAAACAAGAGAAGCGTTGAGTTGCAATAACAGCTGATGGTTGGACGTCTTGCGCCACTGACTCGCACGTCACCGAGCACGTTTCATTTGTGTGAAGATGTGAAGATGTTTCCCGTGGATTAAGTTTGATGACGGTTGTTCCATTCGTGAGTAGTTTGGAATAAATGGTCGACAGTATGAGCACATGCCCAAAAAGGACGTCAGCTGTTTTTTGGTGTTGGGTTTCGGTATTGATACGATCGCGGTTCACTTCCCTGTTTTGGAGAGGCAGCAGTAGTCGTCCCTTCACACGTGAGCTCTCCATCATCTGTTTTCTCTCCATCATTCACATCCCGTTTCCCATTGTGCCAGACGTGTCTGGGTTTCCTCCATTATTTCCAGGTCTTTCACTTTGACCTTATTACCACTTTTAAATCCTTTAACCTTCCAAATCCCCTCTTAACGTTTTAAGTTTAGCGGCACTCAACGAGCCGTTTTCTGGAAACCCAAACTCTTTTGTCCAGTATGGGCGACACTCTGTACGTGTTCTCCCGTATTTCTGCTGCATCATTGCCACAATCGGACCCGACGGTTCCGTGTGTTTGGCGGACTGGCCACCCATCTTTTACTGGTGGACCCTACCGGTTTACTTATTACAATACAGCCGTCAGCGTGAGGCGGAGTTTCTTTACTCAAGGAAAAACTTTGCAAAAACTCACGCTTGGATTTTGCCACGATCTTGTTCTAAAGGTGATTCAGTAGAACTCACGTCTGGTTAACAAGAACAGTGATATCGTTTTACCTGCTTCAGCAGGAAATTCACGTATAGGCTATTTCCACGGTTCACGTTTGGTCAACAGCAACGGTCTTATTTTACCCGGGTAGTCAAGCGATCTGCGTTACGATCTCGGAGAACTTGTTCACGCCTGTATTAAAACATTTTCAGAACGGTGCAAAAAAAGAAAAGAAGCATATCAAGTGTCCCATTTCACTCGTTATATTCCCACATTTTTGTGTCTTCAGTTCTTCTTTTCTCATTCATGTGAGAAATCCAGTCTCTGTGGAGCTGCAACAAGTCCATCAAAGTCAGGTTGAATGTCTGAGGTGGAGATGTGAAGCACAGCTGACATCAGCGAGAGGATCTGTACCTGGATTTGGTAAACGTCATGACTGAGAATGTCTGTTCACATATGTAGGTGGATCCACAGAGAACCAACATCTTCTGAGCACGTCTCCTCCTGTTTGGAAAGTTCTCCTCGTTGAGAGCAGAGTAGAACTCTGGCAGTGATGTTGACTTAAAGTGCTCTTTCAGTAGTGAATCAGCCTGCAGGTCAGTGAGTTCAAGCTGAACATTAGTGGTAAAGGAGAGGAAACCAGCTGCATTTCCTCCTCAACCTTTTTGAAATCGCCTTAAATTCATCACGCAGTGCTCCTAACATGGACGAGTGCCGGTGATCAGATGATGGTTTGACTTCTTTCAGGGTTTTCACGTGTTTGACATTGTTGCTGCCCAGTTGCCTTGAAATGAATTGCAGCTTTGTCACGAAGGCTTTCACATGGATGTGCATTTCATGAGCAAAGAGGCCCTCGGCCTGCAGCTGTGTGTTCACTTCATTCATCACTGCAGTCACAGCAACAGCAAACGTTCAATCTGCCATCCGGTCCTTATCAGACAGCTCTGGGGTGGTTTTGTCTTCCATCTCACAAAACTCTTACCTCTGATTTCAGAAGTCAGAACCTTTTCGGCACTTTGCCCGGACTGAGCCATGTGGCAGCTGTGTGGTACCGGACATCAGCATGTTCGCTCTCCTGCTCCTCCGATAGTGAAACAAACTGCCTGTGGTTCAATGCTCCGCTGCCATGAAATCAACTGTTGTAGTAACAACAAGTTTAAGCGCTGACGGACACAACGCTTGCTGATGAACAACACAACGTATGAACACCAATTCCTGCTCTGCGGCGAGTTCACTCGCTTTATCTTGCATTCTTTCCAAAAGCCCAACATTCCTCCCAGTCAGATTTGGACATCCATCCGTGGTGACCCCTGCCAGTCTGTCCCATTGGCGTCCCGGTTTGTCCCTGCATGCGTTTGCCCCGGTGAACAGATCCGTCCCCGTCGTGGTTCCTTTCATTGGCCGCATTGCTGCCGGCTCCTCCGTAAGCTTGAAGTCGCTCGTCGTCCACCGGGGAGACTTGAGCAGCTGGGCCGCGTGACGGACGTCACGGCGCTCATCCAAAGCTTCACGCGTCACCTTGCAGCTGAAACTCCAGATTCCCCGCGATGTCCTCCACCCTCCTCGTCCCGGTGCGGCGGGACAGCGGGACGTTTCGAACGCTTCTTTTTCCTCTGGACTCGACCACGCACTCCTTCACAAACTGCCCCTCACAGAATGGCTTCGTGTTCTGGTTCTGGTCGCTGCATCTCTGGCTGCAGCTTTGTAAAACAGCCGTGTGGTTTTTCGAGCTTTGCTAGTAAATCCGTTGATCCGCGCTCGCTCGGCATCAGTCGAGTTTTTGTCTTTATCGCCATGTTCGGTCTCGTGAAGCCGTTTCAAATTGTACTCTTTAAACACGGCGACATGCTCCCCACAAAGCAAACACACAGGTTTACCTTTGACTTCAGTAAAGGAGGAAATAGTCCATCTTTGTTTGAAACAGAAGGTAGAGTTCGGGGGTGACCTGTCAATCACACGCATTTCACGTGCACAGTTGACGTGCACCGTGAGAATAAATGGCCTTCAAAATAAAAGCAATGCGCTTTTAGTTAGAAAATATGTTTTTTTTCTACGTCATGTGGTCTTTCGCGGGCCGGTCAGAATCCTCCCGCGGGCCGTACGATGCCCAGGTCTGCTCTAAACCGACCTACCACGATCTGACCCATCACACCGCTTACCTCACTGCTACGACACACTGGGCGACAGCCGCTGGCTTCTAATCCAGTGTCTCTAACAGAGGCACCTACGGGTGCATGTAGACCCCAGGGTATCTGACCTGGGGCCTGTTTCAATAAGGAGGTTCAACCAACTCTGAGTTAAAACTTGAACTCTGAGTTGACTTACCCTGAGATGGGAAACTCTGAGTTTTCGGTTACAGAACAGCTGAAATGAGTTAGTTCAATCAACTCTGAGTTGACCTACTCTGAGTTAAGCGCGTGCACCACAACTATAAAAAGCCATTATCAATGGAGCGCAGATATTACGAGTCACCATGGCAACAGCGCCAGACAAAAAGAGGTCTTCATATTTTTCACCAGCAGAACTGGATGTGCTTATGCAAGCATATGGAGAGTACGAACATATATTTAAAAAAAAAAGCAACACGGCTGCAGCGGCGAAGGACAGAGAGTTAGCTTGGGAGAAAATAGCTGCTCGAGTCAATGCGTAAGTTTACATTTGAATTACTGTTATACAGTGTTGTGTGTAATTAATTTCTATGTAATCTAAAAACTGTAATTTAATTCCGTAATTTAAAGTAAAATCTGATGTAATTGCATTAAATGCTGCATAAACTATAAAGCAATTCTGTATAAAACAATAGTGGATTTAACATCAAATTTTAAAAGATATATTTTTTCAAGAATAATTCATGCAATTGTATAATGTTTATTTGAAAGCATTAAAAGTGCAGTTTCTGTCTCTCCTTGT